GGGGGCGGCAGCGCGCCGGGCAGCCACGGGATCACTCTTTGTGCGCGCAGCCCTGGGGCGAGGGCCCCTCGTGGCCACCCGGACCGCGGGTGACGGCCTCGCCTCCCCACAGCACGTTCACGCACAACATGCTGGCCTTCGGGCTGAACCAGAAGCTCTGCCAGGACTTCCTGAAGAAGCAGGCGGTCATCGGGCACCTGGACGAGGGTGAGCGGCAGGGGTGGGCGGGCACACGCCCTGCGGCCAGGCGGGTCCTGCTGCATTCAAGACGGGGCTCAGGATGCGGCCCAAGGTGTCCTCCCAAGGGCCACGACAGCCCCTTTATGTCTCGGACCACACGGCCGTGGTGAGGACAGTTGTGAGGTTTTCTGGAACCTCTGGCCTCTGTGGCAGCCTGGAGGCTGCTCTGACCTTAGGGCCCCACCCTGCTGCGCAGCCAGCCTCTGGGCGCCGTCCTCCCCGTCCACTTTCAGAATCTAAAAAGCCTTGCACTTGGGCATGTATTGGGATCGACCAAGAACTTCATAAGAAAGTCCGTTCTGGCTGGGCGTGGTGGCTCACGCCTATAATCCCAGCACTTTAGGAGGCTGGGGTGGGAGGACTGCCTGGGCCCAGGAATTCAAGACCAGCCTGGGCAACATAGTGAGACCTAATTTTTAAAAATTAGCCGGGTGGGGTGGTGGGCACTCATAGTCCCAGCTACTCAGGAGGCTGAGGCAGGAGGATCGCCTGAGCTCAGGGAGTCAAGGCTCTAGTGAGCTGTGAGCATGCCACTGGACTCCAGCCTGGGCTGCAGAGTGAGACCCTGACTCAAAAAAAGAATGAAAAATCTACCCTGCACCCAATCCAGGGGATCCATGGAGGGATGGCTCCAGGGAAACCACCCTAGGAGGGCACATCCCTATCCAAAGCCCCCTTTCAGCGTGTGCCACGGCCACACCCCTGCTCCTGGGGGCCCCGACTGGCCACCGCCCGAGTGCGCAGAGCAGGGCGTGCCTGTCCCTGCCCCCGTCTGTCTTCTGAGAAGTGACGCTGTTTTCTCTTCCAGAGCAATACAAGCTGCTTAGTGACCACATTGAGCAAATGGCCACTGAGTAGGCCACGGAGGCTGCAGCCCCAGGAAGAGGAGGGTCTCCATGTTCTCCCGGACCTGGTGACCGGCCATCAACCTTTACCCGACCACCCTGCATGACACCAGCAGCACCCAGCACACTCCTTGCTGCCTAGAACTAGCTGTTAGAAGACTCCGGCCACCCGTCCCCCTCCCCCATCCCCACGTCTGCTCCATCCATGTGCCAAAGTGTCCCTCGGGTTACACGGCTAAAACCGAGGTGACCGGCTATACCCCAAGTGCCAGGCTTGTGAGATGAGCCCGAGGGAGGAGGGAAGAGCACCGGGGCCGGCGTGGGGTCAGGGTGGTGCCTGAATGGCCTTGGCAGTGG